TGTGGACGCGCCATAGCCACCTGTCGTGGGTTTTAGTACTCACAGCGGCCTACCTCAGTAGTTACAGGCACAGGTTACAGACTGTGGTAAGTAATATTAGTATTAAGCTTTATGTAACTCTATTTTTCCATCTTTATGTCCTAATATTGTCCGGTTAATGTCTATTGAGCCGTATAGGATAGTGCGGTCCGGTCATGCGTGACGCTTGGGTAGTGAGCGATTACCACAGTACAGCACGTGCATGTAGGCTAAATTGCATGAATATGTTTTGAGAGATACTTTATGGGTTTATAAGTATGTATATCTCGATGCATAGTTATGTACGAATGTAATAGTGTTGTAATGTTGATGATATGTATTGGAATAGTGATAAACCGTTATGTATAGGTGAGGTCTCGATAGAGTGTAAAAAGTATGGAAGCCGCGTGGTGCCATACTCGACTGTGTACTTGGTCCTATGTATCGCCGGACCGGAATTAGGTTTAATTGTTATAATAGTTATTATAGTATATATCACTTAACTGTTTACATTACTAGATATCATAGTCTCACGTCAGTGTTAAGATTGTCGAATATGATTTTGTCATTATATAATTGTCATGTTGATATTTTGTGAGAAATCAATTGCTTGAATGGTGAAGTATGCAAGATTGTAATGGCTGTTTTGGGTATTGTTTAAGCTTTCCTGAGGAGGATTACGACCACATCTGGACATTGCAGTGGATACAAGCGAACGGGACATCAGGACCGTCCCATGCAAAGGGGCAAGGTCAGCCACAGGTCATCCACAGCGGCAGTCATGGTCACTGAAGGGGTCAGCCAGAGCTGTACAGATAGGGAAATCTTAGTGGACACTAGGGTTCTAGAGAAGCGCATAGCGCGCATCCTATATTTCCACCGTCAGTAAAGGCTACGGTTGGTCAGCGGTGTCAAGCATACGGAGACTGTTGTCACCCAGGAGAGGACTATTGGTCCATTGTGTCATACAGTAGACAGGAGCAGACAGCACAGGAACTGTCATATTATTGAAACAAGGAACATTGACTGGTACCATGCAATTAGCCGGCTTATTTGGAACTGTGAACTTTTGTATGGAAATCAATGTGTGAAAATATGTAAATGTATGTATGTGAATGAGTGGATGCTTGGGAGATGATAGAAATGTTTAGTGAAATGTGCTTGTGTTAATTGTAAATAAATTGTTTGTATTTGTGTAACTTACTAGTTTGTTTTGTTCATTTCTAATTATCTCTACCGACGCTCGTCCCGCGTTACACCCTGATATTCCTCTTATCTGTGGCTATAACATTATGTCGTTTGATATACCATGATATTCCTCTTATCTGTGACTATAGCATAATGACGTTTGATATACCATGATATTCCTCTTATCTCTGTATATAACATAATGACGTTTGATATACCCTGATATTCCTCTTATCTGTGGCTACAACATAATGACGTTTGATATACCATGATATTCCTCTTATCTGTGACTATAACATAATGACGTTTGATATACAATGATGTTCCTCTTATCTGTGGCTATAACATAATGACGTTTGATATACCATGATATTCCTCTTATCCGTGGCTATAACATAATGATGTTTGATATACCCTGATATTCCTCTTATCTGTGGATATAACATAATGACGTTTGATATACCCTGATATTCCTCTTATCTGTGGCTATAACATAATGATGTTTGATATACCCTGATATTTCATGCCTAGTTCCATAACATAATGATGTTTGACATACCCTGCTATTCCTCTTTTCTGTGACTATAAAATAATTACGTGTGATATACCCTGATATTTCATGCCTATTTCCACAACATAATGATGTTTGATACACCCTGATGTTCATAACATAATGTTGGTTGATATACCATGATATTCCTCTTATCTCTGGATATAACATAATAACGTTTGATATACCCTGATATTCCTCTTATCTGTGGCTATAACATAATGACGTTTGATATAACCTGATATTTCCTACCTAGTTCCATAACATAATGACGTTTGACATACCCTGCTATTCCTCTTTTCTGTGACTATAAAATAATGACGTTTGATATAACCTGATATTTCATGCCTAGTTCCATAACATGATGACGTTTGATATAACCTGATATTCCATGCCTAGTTCCATAACATAATGACGTTTGACATACCCTGCTATTCCTCTTTTCTGTGACTATACAATAATGACGTTTGATATACCCTGATATTTCATGCCTAGTTCCATAACATAATGACGTTTGACACTACTCTGCCTTTCCTCTCCAGTCATTATTACATTATGACGTTTGACATACCCCTTATATTTCACACCCATCATTATAAAACTATGACGTTTGACATTCACTGATATTCCACACCCGTCATTATAAAACTTTTACGTTTGACATACCTCTGATAGTCCCGACCCGTCATCATAACACTATGACGTTTTCCATACCCGTATATTCCAAACCCGTCCTTATAACACTATGTCGTTTGGCATACAACTGATATTCCACACCTGTCATTATAACACAATGACGTTTGACATACTCTTTATATTCCCCACCAGTCATTATAGCGCTATGACGTTTGTCATACCCCTGATATTCCACACCCGACATTATAACACTATGACGTTTGACATACCTCTGATATTTCACACCCATCATTATAACACTATGAAGTTTGACATAAATCTGATATTTCACATCCGTCATTATAACACTAGGACGTTTGACATACCATGATATTCCCCACCCGTCATTATAACACTATGACGTTTGTCATAGTCCTGATAGTCCCGACCCGTCATTATAACAATATGACGTTTGACATACCTCTGATATTTCACACCCATCATTATAACACTATGACGTTTGACATAAATCTGATATTTCACATCCGTCATTATAACACTATGACGTTTGACATACCATGATATTCCCCACCCGTCATTATAACACTATGACGTTTGACATAGTCCTGATAGTCCCGACCCGTCATTATAACAATATGACGTTTGACATAAATCTGATAGTTCACATCCGTCATTATAACAATATGACGTTTGACATACTCTGATATTCCACATCCGTCATTATAACAATATGACGTTTGAAATACCTCTGATCTTTCACACCCGTCATTATAACACTATGACGTTTTACATACCCCTGATATTCCCAATCCGTCATTATTTTACAATTATGGACTTTTGTGCTGGTGAATATGATGTGATTTGAACCTGAAAAAGTTATATTGACCGAGGCGAAGCTGTCCTAACTTGAAAGAAGAAAAAAACAAAATAAAAGTATAAAAAAAAGCTCAAGAAATATATTCCTTGTTATACAAAGCTATCTTAAACACAGTTTCATACAAACGTTTATCTCCATGGCTACCGTCAAAAACATCATTGTAACCTGTTAAATTACTGTACTTACAGCAATATTTTACTGTAAAATATAATTTGCCAAAGCTTTGGAATCTGATCAATTTTGTCATAAAATTATTGATGTTACCGGATTTTAACTTATCATTTTGAATGGCCTCTAACCGGCCTCCCTCTGATCTACCATGATTTAATATTACCAGATGTTCATTTACTATAATTTATTGTTAATAATTGACATTTGACTTATCATTATTGACTTTTTTAATTATTCCCCACTTACTTGATCGACGTGTTTACTTTAGATTATTTTGATATTTTATTGTTAGTACATGGCTTTGACTAATCAGACCTCAAAATTAGTTCGTTATCTATCAGAAGTTACAGCTTATGAATGGCATTTGACCTATGATTTCTTTCTCGTGTTTTTTTTTTTATTAAAAAGGCATACAATTATGATATTGTTAAATATTAAGATGACAAATCGTGTCCTCTCGTAGGAGGGCTTCTATACACCACACTCTCTTTCATGGCGTTATACCCTCACCCTCTTTCATAAACTATCGATTTATAACTTTTTATATTATTCATAAGTATTTGTCTTGGATTTTATATTAGGCCTGCTTATATATTTTTTATCCTCTCCTCGCTCACCATCACTCCAACTCCTCGCTATCAAAAGTCCATTATAGCACTAGGTGGCTTAGATCGGATAAAAACATCGGTTTCAACTAAATATCATTTCATTCACTCACTCTTTCATTCATTTGTTAAATCTTGCACGACTGTACCATTAATTCGTGTTGCGCTACCTCAAAAAAGGGAGGTAACTAACGTGTTACTGCCGGAAGTACAGCCCAAGCTGACGCACGTGTGTCTCTCCAGCAGAAGCACAGTGGTTCGTGGTAAAAGTAAGTAAATTGTCATCGCAAATATATGTACTAATGATATGATTTCTTTTTATTAATGACGTGAACAACCTTAATTTTCCGTAATTGAATTATCTATCATAACGTGTGTTGCCTGATGACCACTGGCCTGTGTGTAGCATGTTTATTGTTACTAACTACCATCCAACACAAACATACCCTGTCTTCGGCACACATATACAAGTGTGCGTTTGCACATTACACATGGAAGCACGTCCTTAATTGACCTTAACTGTCAATAGGACGTCAAACAACACAAAACCAAAACCAAATGAGAAAATTAGCAAGACTAGATCGATTTTGGAACCAGTTTCATCAAGCCACATTACATCAATGATATATTTAGCTAAAATATCACGATATATTTATTTTCATATCACGTTTCGATTTTTTGATACGTGCATGATTCAAGGGATTTCCTAAACAATTATTGAGGGCGGTCGTTTTGAATTTAGAATATGTAATATCAGGGTTTTTTCGTTTGATCATTTTACTTGAATATGGCATTAAACTCATGGATTGATACGACCGAGTCCTGGACATTTTGCTAATTTGTTTTTAACCAAACCACCAACCTGTGTTGATTGGTGACACCATATGTTGTATTGCTTTCCTATATATGAACAATCAGTGTTTTTGGTACGAATTGACGAACGCTAATAAAAGTATTGCATGCTAATAATTTTTTATTCAATTCAAATAATTTCAAACTTATGTCAAATAAATTATTTCCAATTATCACACCTTAACATTTCATTAGTTACTCAATGTCCAATGTTTTAACGACATCTGTCATTGACTTCCCAGGTATCCGCGAAAGACGTGACGTCATTAGCGAGTTGTCGCGAGGGCATCATCATGTCGTTGTGACGTTCGTTGTCGTAGGTTCCCAGCAGTCCTCCTGTCTTTCCATAGTACCAACCACTCAGTCCGATCTCGTACACATCACTTGGCACGCTATGTCGGAGGGTGAATCCATGTCCACTCACTGTGACGTCATCGCCCTCATTGACGACGGTTATGTCCTCGTCGTGATATGGCATTTCCACAATGGCTCCATCCACTCTTAACTGTAAGCAGACAATAATATATATATGATTACCATAAACAAGTACTGAAATACCAATATTTACCATTTATAGAGTCCCGGAGTATTACTCAGTAAATGCTCAGATTAGACAGTTTTTCTTCTAATTGTTCAGCATGTAATGTCAGCAAAAAACAAGGTTATATACATGCACTTACACTATAATAAAACATTGCAAGCACCTAACGATCATTATTTTGTTAATAAGAAATTGTTGCTTATCATGTAGGTTCTATAATATTATTATTGTCCCTCGTTGATAGATAACCTCACCTTGTTCTTTGGTAGGAGTTGTACAGCGTGTTTGGTAGTGGTTATGATAACCCTTCTCTTCTGTTTCCCCATGTAGTCGAGGACGATGGAGAAGTTACCATCCATATAGTCACCAGCCAGCACGTAGCTACACCTGCCGTTGAACTGGTACGTTTTCCCGTCAAATGTTGTGAATGTGTTGCCCTCTACGGTTCCGAAAGCTGAAAAGTAATTACACAAACATAGATTGAACCCAAGCGATCCAATATCGTAAGACAACGATACCTTTTGTTAAAATACTAACTTTCAACAGATAAATCAGTTTCAATTTTGACGTGGAAATATATATATGTAAAGCAACAATTTTACTTATTGATTTTGATTAAAAAGTCACACGATATATCATGATCTAAACATCACTTTAAAAGTACCTTTTCCCTCAAAGAGTCGTTAATGACTTTCATTAATACATTGAGGATAATTACCATCAAAAGGTGGCATCCAGGTGCTGAAATCTGAGGATGGTATATAATCGTAGATGGATCTCAATTCACTGATGTCGGGCACATACGACCGAATGTTGTTGTAGTGTTGGATGACGTCAATGCCTGGTAGAGTTTTCAGAGATTTCATGGGTACAACGAGGTAAGTGTCAGTTTGAGCTTCGCCATTTACAGGGTCGAACACAGTTATCTTTGTCTTCTCAAGGTCAGTGATGACAGCTTTCAGCGCTTCAATTTCATCCTCAATTATTTCCATGACATGATCGTGCACACTTGCGAGTGCGGCCTTGGTATTCTCTTCAACTTCCCAGAATTTGTAAGCGGCAGCAGCCTGTATTTGTATAGAAAGAATGAGTTAATGATGTTGCTTGTTTTTACGGCATATGATTTAAGTTTGAATGCTGTCTGTAAGTCACATAAGGGAAGATTTAAGTCTGTTTATCACAAAAAGAAATATCACATCATTGTAGTACCACAATTCTTTGTATACAGTAGGAGTAAGTTGAATTTTGAATACGATGTTGTGTATCTCTGATTATACAGATGTGTATGTTCGATTGTATATATTTATAGGCGTATCTGATTACTCAGACGTATCAGTTACAAAGTAAACACTATGTTACATGTCTCCTCTATTGTATATATTAGCATGAAAACATACTTTGGATTGAATGAAGTCTACTTCCGGTCGGTCCAACAGTCCGTACAGGGCGGAGTTTATCTGTTCTCTCCCATTGTACAGGGTGGACGTGTATCGCTGAGCTAAGTCGTTGATAGATGGCAATTGGTTAGTGACCTTTGAGACATAGGCGTTGTATTTAGCTTTTGCCAGACGCAGAGTATCCGTGTTCAACGGTTGGGCAATAGCATCTACAGAAAGAGCAGTGATATCATTGTTACGAAACCAGTTATATAGCAATATAAAACGGACGGACGTTCAATGAAAAGACCCAAGTAGTTATACAAAGAATATATATGAGACGTACTGGTCATATGGTCGTGGTAGGTTTTGAATGTCAGGAGGGCAGTTGTCGAAAGTTCCCCAAGTTTCACATCCAATGAATTCATCATGGTAGCAAAGTTCCTTCTTGATTCCTGTCCAATCGCCTGCAAATATAAGAACAAAAAGTTGTGATTATAACATTTTAAATCATTTGTTTTGATTAATTTATCCTAAAGTTCGATTTTTTTATTTCAAGATTCAGGATGGTAAATGCGTCACCTGTTTTGCCTATGAATATTTAATGCCTACAAATATTCGATAGATTAAAATACAATCTTTTTACGAACAATCAATATCTTATTCTGAGCTTAATAATAATAAATACTCAGCGTTAGAAAAAAACTACTAAGCTATTAAACACAATGCATACACTACCAAAGGATGAGAACCAGTAAAAGATGACAATGAGAATCATTCTAATACTAGTACTTTACTATAGCAAAATAATCATTTCCATGAAGTCGACATTTCTCGATATACTTATTAAAGTTAAAGTAGAGTATTTACCTGCAGTAGTTCACTTCCACCAACAATGTACTCGTCCACGGAATCCTTCATCGGGTATGACACACGTGAAGAGGCCGCAGTTTCCATCCAACTGGCTAGATTTTGGAATTCCATAACGACTGTCGTGATATAATCCCTTTAAAACAACACCGTTTGTAGCATTAGTTGGTTTACACCACACAAAATATTGAATCAACCATTTCTATACAAGTTTAACTATGTTAAGTTTGACAAAGGTGGGTAGTATTACGCTGTAGATGTGTACGATGATGCTACTTACGATAATTCGTCAATACATATACGACTGTTCAACATATCACAGTCAACAGTTCCTCTCAGAGATGTTACTTCTCGTTGCATTCCTCTAATATTGTTGGCGGCTAACTGGAAGTATGGCGCAAGTTCTTCCAGGACGGAAGACCTGATGCTGTTGTATTTGGAGTTCACTTCCTCATTAATTCCAGATGATATTTCATTATAGAGCTCCACGAAGTCTCTGCTGTTACGGACCATTCGTCGGAGTCCATATGTCTGTTGGATACAACAGATAAGTATATAAGAATCTGGTACCACAGCAAATACATTGTAACCATTTATTGAAAATTATCCGAAGTACATGTGATATTATCTGTCTGTAAAGATACATACCTTCAGATCCTGAACAAGGGTTGGGCGCCAGTGCAATCTCGTGTGAAGCATTCTGGATGTGTTTAGCCGCATGGCAAATAGGCTGTCGGTGATCCTTTGTGTGTTTTCCTCTCGGTATATCTCAGCTCTGATCGCGCTATTGTTCACATATTTCGCCTCAGCGTGGAGCACTTTGCCTTGGTTGTCTGTGTACATTACGTTTTTGGAAAAGAGATGAAAGGAGAAACGTCACAAAGGAATATAAAAACATAAAGATAAATTTTGATAAAGTTTCATTTTGCGAACAATCTCGTTCTTCGAGAAAATATGAATTAATTTACTTACCAATGTCGTAATTCATATGGAAACCCATGCTCAGTTTGCTAGGATCAATTATCAACTCTGCATCTACTGGTCTTTCATCATACAGATTATGGATAGAAAGTCTGTAGGGAACACTGGTACTGACTTGTCCTGACACTTTTACGGATTTGATAGGAGACACCATCTGCAACATATTATTACGTATTATATGAATTTACAGGTTACATCTATGCGAAACGTTATCGCTTAAGTGGTAAAGGTATATGAACTCAAAATAAGATATAATGATATTTTGTAAAAAATTACCTCGAATTTCATTTGATTCCTCATGTTATCAATTTCTCCCATCAGGGCAAAGTTCTTCCTATTACGGTTAGCAGTTAGGTACTGGAAGCCCATGTCGGCGGAGTATTTGTTGTCAACACGACCGAGGTTGGACGTCAGTTGGACATCAATGGTGGTCGCAGGATGAGTAACACCAACGACGAAGCTATAGTTCTTTCTGAAGCCTGACGAAAGGTCTTCCACGCGTGAATGGATCACAAGGTTCTTGTTAGCATCACCAGAGTAGCTGAATTCAGTCTTACCATCAAATATAATGTTCCCGCTGTTCATTGTTACTTCGGAGTCGAGCTTGACGTTCTATAGAATATAACATAATTGATCAGGATGAACATAAAATAGGTGCCAAGCTGTTCCATTTTATCCAACACATATAAGTTTTAAATCTGACGCAGATAAGATTTCCAGATTTAATAAATTGTTATGACTCGTCATATTCTTATTATGTTTACATATAGAGATATGAACAAAGATAGTAAAACATATCCTAACCTTTCCAAGACTCGGGAAGCTAACGGAAAAGTCAGCCTTTGTTGATCTTCCTTGAGGAATCAGACTGCCTCTAACTCCTATTTTCTGTGTTTCGTCTCTGCCTGCATCCCAGAAAATGGCGCCCTCGGTGGTCCTGATACCATAACTGTCGCTAAACAGACTAGTCGTTTTGAGAGTCCTGGATGGAAGTCGAATAGCTAATGCTTTGCTCTGTTCCCTATTGCTACGTCTGTTTCTATCAGATGTTTCATAGTCAATTCCGTATTTGGTAACACCGTCAACAATTAAGTTTCCACTGGAGCTCAAAGCGATAGAAGATCTGGTAAGAGACCCTGTAACAACAACCGTCTTTCTAGGTAATGTGACTGTCACGGACACATCTTTCCTCTCAGTAAAGCTATCACTTTTATCGTTTACAGCTGCTGCCATTCTAACGTTACTGTCTTGACTTTCGGTGTTCCAGTTTATATTCACGTCTCCTCTGATGGCAGAGTCGGTTAATTCGCCGTTAGATGAAAATGAAACTGGTCGGGGTGCTCGCATTGTTAATGCAGCTACGTATGAAGTGTCTTTTCCAAAAACAACATCCATGTCGAGCATTTTTTCGCCGTTCCAATCAGCGTTGACGGTTTCAGTGTATTTTGATGACACTAAATCATGATGTACTGCTATGGCACCGGAGCGTAAGAAAGAAAACGGTGTTGCTACTGTCAGACCAACATTACCAGTGTTTCCATTCCATGTTTTAGTGTTAGCAAAGGATCCATCGACTACGATGACATCAGTTTGCGTCC